TCAGAAAACTGGGAAGCAGTGTGGACATTTGACAGGCTGGGCCTAAGCCTGTCAAATAGAGAAACAGTTAACATACCAATTGGGCCTCAACATTTCTGAAGTGCATACTAAAGATTGGACTGTACTTCACTGAATTTATATCCTTTGCTGCCCAACATCAAACTGGAACCTTAAATAGTCACATCTGTAAAACATGTATGATGCTTGCAATTCAACCTGTGTTGAATTATAATTTAATCAACATACCTTGCACGCTTCCATTACTTCAGCTGCATGTTCATGTTTTTTATAGAGTTCGTGTCTTCGATCTGGCTGAGTCAGAAAACGTGGTTTCTTTTTAACTGGGTCGTTCTCACCAAACGTTGGTGAGTTGGTTTTTAGTAACTGAGTAATATTTGGCACAAAAATAAAAGGCTTAAATACAGACCTAGAGGGAAAAAATAGAACATCCTTCACTGAAACAGTTTTAGTACAATTGCCAAGTAAAAGTCAATGAGTCACTAGTTCTTCCATTTCTCCCTTTAGCTTCCTCTGGAGAAAGACTTCAAAAAACTCATCTTATTTCTGAGTTAATCGGCACAGGTACATGAAGTCTCTTAACAGGTAAATTAATGTTATACATGTACACAGAGGAGCTGTAACATCCTAATTAAGACTTATGCATCCTGCTCTCACTACATGTTTGGAGTTAAAAGATTTAAACAAAAATTGCCATTTTAGACCCTACTGAAGTTTTTATTACCCAAGTTAATGCATCACCTGTCAGGGTCTGGGGTTCCTGTAAAGAAATGAATACAAGGTAGACTAGAGTCCTGAGGTAAAATGGAGACCATACTTCCAGTAGTCATAAATCCTCCTTCCATATTAATGCCACTCTCTTTATCTCGAAGAATCTCCATCATTGTTTCAGCAGTTATATTGCCTATTTAAGATATAAAACAGGTTAGTTATGTACAGTGCCACTGACTTAAACAGCATCTACTCTAGAACCTTTCTTGTTTACTCATTTTTCACAGGGAATGTCCATTTTGTTTTGCTGTTTTGTCAAAAAAGGCAAATGTGAAATGACAGTTATCATAGTAGCTTCTTACCCTGGTACTTAATATGAAAGATGTTCTCTTTAGCTATGTCATGAAAGCAATCAATTACCCACCCGATATAAATGTATCAAAATAAGCAACATGTTGAAAATACCAAATGAGATTACTATTTTATTTTCAAAATATACCTCCTCTGAAAGGAAAATGACAATGAGCTACTGTATTGGACTCAAAGTGTTTTGCAAATCCCAAACACATTTGTTAAGTGGAAGACTAGCAAACGTTGTTCACATAGTAACTTTCCAGATGAAAATTAATAGTTTTGAATTAAAAGCTAAACTTTAAGTGCTGTGTGGGAGTTAAGCAGACAAAACACAATATTGGCTATTGGGGTTTATACACAGATAATGCCACTAGACTACATTGAAAATGCAAAAATAATGACAACTGTGTGTGGATTTCCTGTGCATCATGTTGAAAAAAATGCAAATCTAAGAGACTAGAGTGTTTCTTATGATTTGACTTCCCAGGTAATTTAGATTTCAAGATGACAGCTGAAATGATGCATTAGAGAAAAACAAGTTTTATGCCTTGAATGAAATGGAACCACACTAGCGTATCCATCTGTGAGGAGAGCAACATAATTCCTTGTCGAGCAGCCCACAGTTTAATAAAGTATACAATTCAGGTAGTTTGGGGTTCTTGTGGAAATTTTTCTGAGACGGGACAAAAGAGACCCCTCCTTTGGGACTGTCTGTATCTGTAAAACTTCTCATAGTACAACTTTTAAAGTAGTGTTTAATGTTCAAATACTGCTGATATTGTATCAGTTTGTATAGGAGTTCCTAGTGAAGTATGCCCGATATTTTTACAGATGGCAGTTATGGGCATTGCCTTTTTTCTGGTATAACACATGATGGGTCACACAACAACACAATCACATAAAGAAGGAAATCCAAATAATCTATTATTTGGTTTTTCCACTTTAATACTGGCACGGCCAACCTTAAAATTCCTAACTTTACTATGGTCACTTCAAATACTTTATCTCTGAATTAGGATTTGCATTTTAATTTGTCTTGATGTTTTTAATTGTAATGCTAAAAATAGTTGCACAGACTTCTGCGCAGCTAGAAAACTGACCTACTTGGCTAATTTTCCCTGTAAATGATGCAAGCTGAAATCCATACTTGACTTCCTATGTAGCATATGAATATTTAACCGTGTCCACACTCTTGAGAATAGTGGGCATAACTATCTGGGGGAAGCCTGAAAAAGGCAAAACCAGCTATACGAAAGAAATGACAGAGGAGGTAGTCTTATTTAGTCAATCACCAACTGGTCCAGCAGAGAATAAGTAGTACATTTCTCTTTTGTAAACTTTTTTAAACTACTTATCTAAACTTCTAAATATATATATTTGATACCCATAAGTTCACAAAATAGAATACTCAGTGGCTGCTTTTCAGATGTAAAATATCATAGCTATTTCCCTACAGGCTGAAGATCAGTGGTCAGAAAGATTTGTTTTTAAATTCCCTGGGAGAAAAAGCTTAGACAAGTAAAGTATGAAGCCAGTGGATTTTTTCTAAACTAAATAGTTTGGTAGTCTGAACTGAATAGCTTTTAAGGCATGTATTTAAAAACACATCTACATGAAATTAAACTACATTAGCCCGATAACTTGAACGCCTAGCGTGATTTAAAAATGGCTGAGGTAAATGCTTGAAATTGGAGATTTAGAATGAAAGTGTTGATAGAACCTTAACACTACTATAATACAGGTAAATACAGGTATTATGAAGATATGTTCAGTATTCAGAACCTGCAGTTCCCAGAATGAATGCAGGATTTACATGATCACTGAAGTAGGATAGCTACAGGCAATTCACTCATAAGCATTAAATAAATACTGAAGCTGAGCCAGCAGAGCTCAGCAAAATAAATAAAAAACACACCAGAGAGCAATTTTATTTAGATTCAAATTAATTATTTCAAATGAACAAGCAAATAGAGATACAATTTTGTACTGTTTGAAGCATAAATAAAAGCTGCCATGAGATGGTGGCATAAATAAGAGCTGCTCTAAGAGTTGGTGGCAGTTTCTCTCTACAGAAATACATAAGTTCATAATTATGAATTTTTGCTGAAAGTACTGTGATTCTTTATTCTGTTTTCAGAGTGTGTTTTTAATTAGGTGTTTAAGTTTAACGGTTACATTTTTAAACTGGTTTTTAATGTTGGTATCATCAGATACAGTCTAAAAATGAATTGTATTAAGTAGAATACTGTATTTTCTAACATAATACACGCACCTTTTTTCCCAAAATCAGCCGCCCCAAATTGGAGTGCATGTTTTGACCAGAACTAAGCTAAAATGTTGTTTAGTCAGGCTCTGCTTTATTATGTTTTATTTTACTTTTTTGTTTTATTAGTTCTCTTTTGCTATAAGCCATCTTGAGCCTTCATTGGAAAGGATGGCATATAAATTTCATAAATAAATACTCAAGGAAGCTGTTTTCTTCACTGGAAAAGGAGCACTCCTAGAGAGACTGTGCATGCCATGTGGGTGCCAGGATGGCTGCTGCTTGTGTCTGGTCGGCAAAGCGAAGGGTAGTAGTTTTGTGTTAACCCTCTCACAGCTGTAGCTATTGGCTGAGCACTGTGTCTATCTTGCGTTCAAAGCAGCACGTGAGCTGCTGTTTGTACCTTGATGAAGCTTACGATGTGGAAACATTTCATTTACAGGAACTTACATAAAGAACTACTTACAGTAAAGAAGTAATTTGCTACCGTCCTTTGCAAAGGCCTGAGGCCTAATCTTGTGACACAGCAAGCCCTCCTGGAAACATAGCATCCAAGTATGGAATCGCAGAAGACAGTCTGGCATACCAGGGAGTTCCTGATGCCACACTTTGTGGACACTCTGGCCACGTCCACACGAGCATGGACATTTGTTTCCTCAGGACAAGAAACAGTGGCACACTTTGTGCCTCTGCTACTTGTCCCTGGGGAATGCCTGTCCCATGTGCCCTCTGGTGCATGGCAGGTTACCCTGGGTGGGGTAGGGGAGGCTGGGGTTAGCAACTATGCTAGCCCTAACAACCTTACCCGGGGTCCTGGGGAATTCCTGGGGCTGCCACCGTGGCAATCCTGCCTCTTGGAGCCTCCAGCAGCTGGAGTGTGGCTCTAGCTGGCCCAGCTCGGGTTTCGGGCGGCGAGTGCTGCCACTGTGTATACTGCCCCGCTTTTTTCACACCATTTGTTTGACCCCGGGATCTCCCAGAGTCAACCCTCTCCCCTTGCAACATGGAGAACACCTGAATATGTGGTGTGTGTCATGGTAGATGGGTCTGTGGAGCCACATACCGCATGGCCATGTTTGTCTGGATACAGCCTCTGTTTCCAGGAGGATTTACTCTATATCACAGAAAACCTTAACTCTGGAAAAATCTTTTTTTTCTACCTTCTTTTGCCTTCCAAAAGCAAGGTGTATCCCTTATTTGGGAGCATGCTGTATGTGAAAAAATATGATAATATTTATATGAATACAGCACTCAGTGGTTTCTTGTTTTAGATGCTATCTAAATCTATATTCTATATCTAAATCTATATTCTCTGCTACAAAGTTCTACACAGTCTTATCTGTGTAGCTGTGAATTTAAGTAAGTCTACTTTTTTATTTTCTCATAAAGTAGGTGGTTAGTAAGTGGCCCATCAGTACAAATCATTGTGGAAGATACAACGAGACCCTGACTTGACTTGGCTTAACCTCTAGGTGTAACTGCAGCTTTGTATGTTTTTGTGTACCTGTTTTCTCTAACCCCAAAATGGCAAAAACAATTAAAAAGCTTAAAAACAAACTAGACTGATTTTTAAAAATATTATCACTCCATCATTTTCAAGTCACTTAAAATCAATTGCATGCATTTATTTCCCATAGCAGATATATTAATCAGATTTGATTTAAAAGCACACAGATTTTAACATAAGTACATGTTGTCATTTTCTTGAGTCAGATAGCAACAAAAACATACGTACCTTTGTGTTTATTTAGTAGCTTATAACCTTCACAGTATCTGCCCCTTGACATAGTCATTCTGGCTGTATTTACGTAGGAATACACAGCAGCAAAATCAAATTCTTTTTCACCATCCCACCAGCCTTTGCTCTTTGCATATGCTCTCATTTCTGGGTGTTCCCGATCAATCTTGGTGGTTATGGAGAGTTGGTTGGAAATATTCCGCACGCCCTCTGTTTTGTAAGTGGGAAAAGAATATATTTTTGCATGTTACGGACTGATTTTCTTCTCGTGTCTTATTTGTCTATGGTAAGCTTACTAGAAAACGTGATATATTTAGCAACTTCTTAAAACTTTTTATTTTTGGCTTCTCTTTCTTTTGTCTCAAGTATCCAGACAATATACAAATTATACTGCTGCTTCCTTCCAAGATTCATTCTTTTAATCTTCACACCCATATTCTTTGTTCAGTGTTTCTTTATATTCTGACACTAGCCTTCCTCTTCAGTCTTAAAAACTGAGCTTCTTAGTCCTTTTAAATAACACTTATTAAAATCATATTCTCCATCTGTCAGTTAATTCCTCATTGAATTTTTTCTGATGCTCCCTATTACTGTATCAAATTTTACACCTCTATACTGCCCTCAACACTTCATAATTCTACCATTCCCATTTTACCATTATCAAGTTTTACACTGCCTAGGTCCTCCCATCCATGAGTGTTCCCAACTTCTTCCAATTTCATCAGTCTACCATCCTAAATAGCACTATGTATGTTAAGGCCTCCATCACCCCCGCCCCCCATCCATTTAAGCCCCTTTTAAAGAACCATTTTTGTTCCATACCTTCTATTTTTTCTGCCGCCCAGTATTTTCCAGAAGTCTCTAATACCCAAGCCTCCTTTCTGTCAGCTATCAAAAAGCTATTATGGTAGGTAAATGCCATTTGACTCTCCATACAGTTTCCACCCTGTCCATATTTTTCTAGCAAGTCAACAATGACAGTAAGGGCCTTTTCAGCTGTATCAGCTCTTTCAAGTCCAAGTCTAAAACAAAATTAAGATATTTAATTTTGTAATAATAAGCCTTAAAATTGTTTTCAACCTTAATATTCAAGTTAAATCTGAACAATAACAGTGATATTCAGGGGAGGAGACCTCTTCACGGGGCAGAAGGAAAAAGCTGCCAGACCTGACAGCTGAGAGTCATTAAACTGCAGCGTGATGGAACTAACTTCCTGCCCAGCCTGGACTGAGGAGGGTTATGCTAGTCTCAGAGACTATCACTGCACTATGACACCTTCATTACATTTTTCTGGCCAAATGAACTAGGTAACAATAGGTGGTCTTTCTGTGTCTCAAAGTCAGGGACTTGTGACAAAGACTGAAAATAAAATATTGGGAGTAGTTCAGGCAGTTGGGACAGAAACAGACTTAAGAAGGCCACAGCCCCAATCCTCCAGTGCAATGTGGGGGCTAGAATTTTGATGGGTACCAAACCACTCAAAACCCCTTGAGGACCTTCCTTTGTAGAGTCTCAATAACAGGTCAGTGTCTGTGGAATAGGTATCTGTGTCAAGAAATGTTTGTATCTGAAGATGAACAGGACAGGCAGCCTTGTCTTCAGAAGCAGGGAGCCACCATAGTAAGAGTGGCTTATCATGACTTGACAGACATGAGGCCAGACCACCTCCAGACTCTCCTAGAACTGCCCCCATCAACCTAGCTGTGGGGGGGAGGGAAGAGTCAAAAGATAGGTGATACCTGCTGTGCCAGTGGCTATAAAAACTGCTCTGCCTTAACTGCAGCAGCCCAAGCACTGACTGTGCATTTGAGTTGGACTGCACGCCTGGAGTTTAACTCCGTGCATTTGAATACTGTCAGCCTCTCCACCAACCTGACGAGGTCCATGCCCAGGAGAGCTTCTTTGTCCTGGATTTCTTCTCTCCCCCACACGGCTTCGTTTCCGATGCAGACCCCATGCTCGTTGGCTCCCATTTCGGCCCCCCACAGCCAGGCCGGGCGGCTCAGGACAGTGGCATGCGTGAGGGGCGCCTGCTCGATCTCGATGTAGGTGCACTGTAGCAGGGACAGGCACAGGCCCGGGGGCCTCACTCAGCTTCCCTGGGGCTGCAGGCCCCACCTGCCCGCCCGCCTGATGGTGGAGACTTCGGGCTCCTCAGGGCAACT